ATGAATAAAGGGCCACATGAGAGCGGTCATGGTTAGACCAAATATTTAAACAATTTGAGCTATATAGCAAGTAGAAAACAAGAAAGGAAAGTGATCATATTTCTACATGCCTTGAGATCCTCTGATCTGCCAATGTTCACTAGCAGCTGGAATGCTAATTACAGTGGTGCCTCGCTTAACGATTTTAATTGGTTCCAAAAAATTCATCGCTATGGGAAAACATAGCTAAGCGAAACATGCTTTTCCATAGAAATGAATTGAAAACGAACGGATTGCCATCCTTAAGCAAAAATCGCCACAGGAAACATCGCTAAGCGAAACATGGTTCCCCAATTGAAATGCATTGAAACCTATTCAATGCATCTCAATGGGGGAGGGGGGGAATTACAACAAATTGAAAAAGAGTTGGAACAAAGTCAAATTAGTTTAACAAAGAGTTTATTAAGTGCACGTATGATTTCAAGCATTCTAAACATTTTTAAAACATTTTTAAACATATAAAAAACAGCCAACATGAGGCTGTCAAAACCATCGTTAAGCGAAACAGGGGGACCCAAAGTGTCATTGCTATGCGAAGCATGGTCCCAAACATCACTATGCGAAAATCGCCCATAGGGAACATCATTAAACGGAGCGCAAGATCGCTCCGAATAAGCCATCGCTAAGCGAATTCGTCATTAAACGAAACGCTTGTTAAGCGAGGCACCACTATATTTAATATATTTGCATTAGAAGTTGCCTACACTGGGTGACAGCAGTAAACTGCCAACTGCTGAAATCAGAATAGGAAAAATGTAGCCTGTGAGCTATATGTCCCAAGGAGAACTTTGTACCCCCAGTGTGTGGGCAAGCCCTCAGCTTTCTATATCTTGAGAAAAAATATTTTTAAATGGTTTGAAAATATTTGCACAGAAAATCCCCTTTTGTTTTCCAGAGGCATGAAGCAATTTTGCCATGTTTAAAAGGTGCCCAGCATATTTTGGGTCTCCATACTCCAAAAATTTAATTTTAAAAATGGCCACTAAATGGCATGATGAGGTGGGGCTCTTCAGCTAAGAACTTGGTTTTTTACGTTAAAGCCATTTCTAAAGTAAAAAAAACACTAAAACAACTTTTACCCAGAAAATCAAAAACAATTTTAAATATTCAATTTTTATAATAAAACATTGTTAATATACAGTTTGGCCTCTTTGGTCTCCCCTCCCCTTTTAATAATAATAATAATTTATTGTCATTGTAAGTATATACACATACAACGAAATTCACAGACACCCAGAGACACCCACTTTTCTGCTCATTCCACTTGAGAATACAACCACCAGGCTGCTAGTATATCTTAAAAATAGGTTCTTAGTTTTCACTTCACAAAATGTTTTAGTGATCACAGCAGCAGAAAACTACCTGAAAGTGCTAACTTTCTATTTTCCACCACACATTTTTTTTAATCTCATGTTTCTTCTACCACATTCTACAGCATATTCTGCTAAATTCTTGCCAAAACAATAAACCAAACAGAATTCTTGTTCATCCTCACTGAATTCCATAGTAGCACGTTCTCTATCTTGAGAGTCCAACGAAAACCAAGGATCTATTGTCTCCAGAAAAGACTGGCCTCAGATATTTTGCTGCGTGAAGGAAAGCAGAAAATAACAGCCATTTCTAGCTGTAGAGAATCAAAAGCAGTTATTTTATTCTGAAACATGAAAGAGAAAAGTATTTCAAACTCTTCCCCAAAATTACAATAATAACAAATTATATAACTATCAATTTCCTCTTCTTTCACAGCTTTAAAAATCTTCTGCCTGAGATACCTGCTTCACTCAGGTTAACGGTAGGCTCCACCCTGTCTCTAAGTTTGTCAAAACTGTCAAAAATAATAATGACATTCACATAAATAAAATATTCTGGCTTAATAAACCATGAGGTAAATGTGTGGTTTGCTCATGAATACCACTTACAGGTATCTTTTCTTGCTTTCTGCTTCCTTTCATATAAACAAAGCAGGAGTGGATAACTCTGTGTGACATACAGATGTAGGATAGTGGTTATGTATGTCCAAACATGGCAAATAAGTCCTCAGTTAAATCTAGCTCAGAAATCTATCTTATCCCAATATATATAATCATAATCTCAGATTTAGCAACATGGGAAGCTATACTCTAGTGATCTTCAAAACTCAACAGCATGGATATATTAATGTTCAATCCATCTCACATTCCCCTTTTCTGCTGTTTCCAACCAGACTGTCTATTCCAGTCAATCATGTCTTCTCACTATATGTCCCAAGTAGAGTGACCTCAAGTTTAGTCATTTCTGAGAGAGATCAGCCTTAAGTTTAAGATACCTTTCTGGTGTGTTCACCCACTTATACAGACTCTGAGTGGGAACAAGGGAAATACATACAGTAGCGCACAGTTCATCTACACTATTGTTTATTAAACCAGAATTCTAGTGCAAACATGACCCACAAAGTTCAGAAACTTCTCATTCATTGCTGCTTTGCATGATCACGACTACAGATTTGAACTGAACACTAAGTTCTATGTTATCTCTTCTTTTAACAAGCTGAAAAGGAAAGCACAGAACTACTACCTTCTTGTTGAAAGTCATTTTAACAGCATATTGAGCGTGAACTGCTCCTGTAAAAGACTGCACAGTCCTAATTTCTACCTTTATGTAATAACAACAGAAATTCAGTCATAGATCCTTGCTTTCCGCTGCATAATATGAATCTACGAGGGTACTCTAGATTGACATCTTCTTTTACACATCAAATTAGGGCACTGCCTGGCCCCAAGTCATTTCTGATGCAGCCAATCAAATGTTGTTGATTCTACTGAAGAATGTCTCCCATTTTATAAAACAGCTACACAAGGCAAATGGAAAAGACCATATAGGCAACATGAAAACTATACCATTTATTTCTATCTCTCATACCATATCAGCAAAGAAAAAAAGGGAAACAATTGATTAAATTCAGGAAAAGGAGAGAGAAAAAAACCACGAAGGGAGAAAAATGTAAATTAAATTACCTTTGTCTTATTTTTCATTAGAAACAGCAGATTTCCTGTCAGACGACACCATCTCTCCCTTGGTTCTGCATGCAGAAGAAATATGGTATTAATAAAATGATAAAAACAATAACATGCCATCATTCTCTGTTCATACTTTACCAGAATCCTATTGGTTATGTCTAGGTGAGTAATACAAATAGTGGAAGTTCTTCAGAGTGGCCTCTGTGAATGCACACAAAAGGGTTAAATCGGTTTACTATCTCATAATCATTTCCTACTCCAGGTGGATTGCGTTTAAATAGAATATATAAATAGGGTATAAATAGAATATATAAATAAATAAATTGTCTTTTCAGCTTTTGATAACATGTAACATTTTTCCAGCCCATGTTTACCAAAACAGTGACGGTCCTCTTGGCTTGCAGGTCAAAAGAGGGCAAACCTGGTTGCAGAGTTCAAGAAATGCAGCATGCAGTGAAGAGCCTGCAGCAATATGTAGTAGAAAATGTGCTGGAGGATCATGGAATTGTCACTGATGTAAAGCTAGCATTACAAGCAGACCATAGTTTCTTCTGTGGAACACTGGACATTTTGAATTTCTAGCCTATAGAACTGCATAGATCAAACTTTAATAAAGATGACCAAACTCTAGTGAAGTTCGCAAAGCAGCACAATTAAGATGATCCCATGTGCAAAGGGCAGCATTTCTTCTTCCTTACTGACAGTGTGTTAAATATGGTAATAAATTCACTTAATCTGGTCACATAATTTTTGGAGTGGAATTTGGTTGCCTCCAAGAAGAATTTTGTTTGTGTTTGTTAGCATCAACTGTATGGATCAAGGAGGAAGACATAGCTGTGAAAATATACTGGTGCATGCTATCGTCACCATCCCATACAGTCTAACAGTCCCCTACTCTACTTGCACACATATCCATGCACTGCATTCATCAATGAAAGATTCCCACACCTTCAACAAAACCCTGCTCTACCCCTGATGGAGACATGCCACCTATCCAGTAGCTTGGCTTTCAAACATAAGTTCTCACATTGCCCTCTGCAAATTAATCCAGTTAGCAGCCAACAGCAGGACTACTGCTTTCATCAGTGTTTGCATATACCAGCAAAAATCTAATCCACCACAGCTACGACAGAAAAGCAATTACTTAGAAAGGTGTTTAACAGCATTCAGTCATTAGCAGAGAAGGAAACAGATTATACAGGCAAATGTGTGACTACTGAAACTGCAAGCTGACAACAGCTACCAAACCATTCATGCACAGACAACTGCCAATGTGAGTTATTTTTACCTATAGATTTACCATTCCCAAACACTCTGCATATCTTCAGCATTCCTTCCTTGTCAAAACAAGATGATGGCCTTCTAGCAAGGGAAGCCAGTTCCTTAGCATTGTACTGCATCTGGTTATTCATGAAGAGGGTGATGAATGGAGAATAACAGAGATGGCTAATGAATTGGTTGAAAAACATGCAAGTCCTACTCAGCAGTCAAGATAAACTGGAATTTTAAAACAAAAAAGATGCTGTAGAAGCACAGAATGACAGCATACTTTCTTCTTTCTACAAGTCTTTCCTAGGACTGTCAACTCAATGAAGAGTAAGTGGTGATTCATTGTGTGAAATTTTAGTGATCAAGTCATCACAGGACCCAAAAAATCTGAATAAAAATATTTGTTCTCTTCTTTTAACATGGTGTACCAATGTTTCACAGATGGCACCAAACTAAAAGAAACAGTAGTTTCCTTAAGAGAAACACCTCTTCTACAGCACTGCCTACCACCTGCAGTTTGCTGGCCTGTGTCCCCCAACAATTATTATACAGAGGCATACTACCTCTGACTAGAGATGAGCATGAACCATGGTTCAAAGGTTCATGTCAAAGGTGCCGCATGTTCTCTTCCCCCACCTCCCCAGCCAATGACCCACTTACCAGTCAGAGCGTGCTCCTCTCCTCCTCTCTTTGGCTGTTCAACCAATTCCTAGCAGGAGCATGGGTGTGTCTGTTCTTCCTCCTTCATTCCTAGCAGGAGCATGGGTGTGTCTGTCCTTCCTCCTTCTCTGAGTGGGCAATTAGTCAAGGAGGCAAGACAGGGAAGTCCATACTTCTGCTGGAGATTGGTCAAACAGCCAAAGAAAATCAGAGGAACGCACACTGGCTGGCGAGTGGGGGATCCAGCTGGGGAGATGGGGGAAAGGAACATGTGCAGCACCTGTGGTGCCACATGTATTAACCAGCATGAATGAACTTCTGAATCGAGGTTCATGCTCATCTATACCTCTGACACTGGAGGTAATATATAGTCAGCAGTCACTGATAGCTTGCTTTCCTCCTCCCTTCCTTCTTAATTTCTTCATTCACCAAATGCCCTTGCATCTGGCTTCCCTCGCTTCAGATTTCCATACAAGAAAGAAAGAAATTCCTTCTGTACTTTCCTGTAAAGGCAGATTAAGAGAACAGGCTATCAAGCAAAGACCTGGAAGAGTATTTCTACTCTAAGCTATCAGCTCTTGTTGGTTCTGGAAGACGGCCAGGCTGCCACTGTTGAGAAGCACTTTCCACTTG